GAATAATGGCTTATTGCCAAAAAAAGACGAGTAAGCGAGTTTCTGTGGTTTTAGTACGCAAATTAAGCGCCAGAAGGAAGGTATCAGGAAAAGCTTATTTTTTTTTGAATACTCCATTTAGCGTTACAGAAGGGTAACTGCATTCATGTCAATCATTAAAAAAAAAAATTTAAACTCTTTCCCTTAGAGAGCACAATAATTTCTACCAAGTAATGTAATCTGCTTACACTGTCCAAAGTATCGAGTTTCATTGGAGATATACAGTCGAAAAACTATCACTCAAGGGTCAGTGTCGTATATTACACGCCCGTTCTGATTTAGGCGATAGAAATACTGTCCTGTATCGGCGGATTCCTTGAAGGTAAATAAAATACAATCTCATTGAAAATCTGTGTTAAGGGCAACTATGAACAAGTTGTGGCGAGTTTTGATGAGATGAATTTGAAGCAGAATCTTCTGAGAGGAATTTATGCATTCGGTTTCGAAAAGCCGTCTGCCATCCAGCAGCGTGCAATTGTGCCTTGCACTACTGGTTCGTTGTTTTTTTTTTTTTCAAAAATTCTTATAAATTTCACAAGCATCCTATTTCTTTTGTTTAATTCCCAGTACTCGACTGTTATGATTTCCAGGTCGTGACGTCATTGCACAGGCTCAGTCTGGTACAGGAAAAACTGCTACTTTTTCCATCTCCATCCTTCAGCGCATAGACGAAAATGAACCCAGTGTCCAGGCTCTCGTCATGGCTCCCACTCGTGAATTGGCTCAGCAGGTTTGAATTAGTAGAACTACACACTGTTGTCATCAGGGGCCTTTTAAACCCTGGGTAATGTTTCCGGAAAATACAACTTTCAAAGTTTACTCCTCTGCTACAAACCCCTCCCTCTTTCCCATCTATCCATTATCCTTGCCAACATTTCCCAGCTTCCTATCACATTTTGCAAAATTTGTCGACAATTTTCAAGTTTTTCCCCGTAATTTTGCCATCGAGCGAGGGCGGGGGACGCCACTAACCACCCGTTAATCTCAACTTCGGAAACAGTAGTCGTACAGTAGGCCACCAGTCGGTTTGGGAGAAGACCACAACCGAAAAATTTTTTCGTAGCGCAGCAAACATCTCTCGAAGGCAAATAAGGGCCCCTTCTCCCAGCAACGAGCGGATACAACCCCTTCCCCCTTGGTTTTCCCAACGATGTGGGTAGGGAACGTGCTACAGGAAAAATCTACATTCAAAAAAATCTCGGGTCGATCCGCCCTTTAGATCAAATACAACCCTCGCTGGAGATTCCTCAACGTACGACGTGCCCTGATTTATGCACATGTTCCCAAAGGGTAAGGAAAAGGTGGAAGACTGGCCAGGTCGTATGCTGTTCATATTTTGGAACGAATGGGTTATGTCCCTAGAGGGGCTCTCTTTTTCTCCTTTTCGCCTTCTTCAAGGGAACTTTCGCTGTCAGCCTCTAGCGTTTTCGTTGTGAGCTCGCTTGACTAATTTGGCTCGTTTTTCAGATCCAGAAAGTTATGTGCGCTCTCGGAGACTACATGAATATCAAAGTGCACGCCTGCATTGGAGGAACAAGTATTCGCGATGATCAGCGCAAGTTGGAGAGTGGAGTGCATGTCGTTGTGGGAACCCCCGGTCGTGTAAACGATATGATCAATCGCAATGTACTACGTAAGGGAATCATCCGAAATTAAATATTCACGTCTACTCTTACTTTTTTTGGCATTGTTCATGCGCAGCGTCGAGCTGGCTAATGGCGGAATCGGGACGATCCACGGAAAAAAAATTGGGAACGAATCGATTTCGCCCATACTTCACACGGGCGGGATCGGCACGATCAATTCTTATCTTTTCGGCGGACTCTTCCGAGTTCGCCATTTTCCTGATTAAGCGATTCTCTTAAAACCCACGGAGGGTTCAGTTAAATAATCTTTATCTAGTCTTTGTTAATCGATTTTCCTGATTTTGGGAGTTTCCAAGTTCAGTGATTCTCACATTATCCGATTCTGTGCGGATATTTCCTTTCCGCATATTCATCACTCTCAACTATTAGCGCCATTTTTCCTCTGTTTTGCGGAAGCATGCTACAGTCTGATTTGTCAAGGATGACGGGGGTTCCGAGAAGAGTCGGTTTGGCGCGGCGCCAGCCTGTTCACTGCGAATCGTGGAGGCTGGTAGACGATCACAGTTGGTGGAGAACATTCTGGAGCCGCTACAAACCCTCCCTCCCGATACGCCCGGCGGCCGCGGCGTACATAACTCCGTTTCGGGAGGAATTTCGCCGGATGGAAAAGAATCCAGCTAGCTTCCCGATCCCGTCGTGAAGAAATTATCGTGGTTTCAGAGACGAATCGTATAACAATGTTTGTGCTGGATGAAGCTGATGAGATGCTTTCGCGTGGTTTCAAGGATCAGATCTACGAGGTGTTCAAGACTTTACCGCAGGAGGTTCAGGTTTGTAGTTCATTGCAGACTTTTTACGTAGAGTTTGGTCCACTTTTGACAGCTGAAGCGAAGCTGTGAAAACTGTTGTTTAGGTTGTGCTGTTGTCGGCTACTATGCCTGCCGATGTACTTGATGTAACTAATCGTTTTATGAGAAATCCGATCCGTATTCTTGTGAAGAAAGAAGAGCTTACCCTCGAGGGTATCCGTCAATTCTATATAAACGTGCAAAAGGATGTGAGTCTAGCTCTATTTCACATCAGTTGTACCAAATGTCCTCAGCAATACTGTTTAGGAATACAAGTTTGAAACCCTCTGCGATCTTTACGATGCTGTGAATGTGACTCAAGCTGTGATCTTCTGCAATACTAGGAGAAAGGCATAACAGTGGACCGGGGAATAAAGGAAGAGCTTTTTTCAAATGAGCGCTTTCAGGTGGAACAGCTGACCGAGCAAATGACTAAGAAACAGTTCACCGTATCCAGCTTGCACGGAGATATGGAACAGCAAGACAGAGACGTTATCATGCGCGAATTCCGGTCCGGATCTTCCCGTGTTCTTATTACAACCGATCTGCTCGCTCGTGGTATTGATGTCCAGCAGGTACGTATTCCAAGACTGCATGAGGTTACAAGTTCAGGAAGTCATGATGTATACAGCACCACCGAAAAGAGAAAATTAAATGTGTCGGGCCTTGGACGCACACAGTGGGTCGTACCCCGGTACTAGATCACGATCTTGCGTGGAGTGGGCGACACACGAGGTCCAGCGCTGCGCATGGGGCGTTCTGTGGTACCAGGCGGGTCCCTCCCCGGGTGGAAGCCCTACCGAAGCTTCCTTCCCACCCAATGGTCGGGGTCAATGGTGAAGCCAATTTTGCAAAAGCATCATTCAGGTAAATAAACTAGGTTGAGCAAAAGACGTGCAACACGGACTAAAAAGTACTTCGAACTTGGCTAACTGAACCGGCTAACTGCATGCCGTCTCAGGATTCTTGTCAGCCGGGGAGCCCCCTCCTCCTTTTTTTCCTTGGTTCCTTCTCTCTTTGCGGTTCCTTTCCCATCTCCCTTCAACTGCTGAGTCGGTAGTTGCAACGAGAATATACCTCTGGACTCTCTCAGCGAGACTATGTCCTGTTGACCATGCACAGCTTGTGCGTTCACTGCGCGATACATTTATTTCACGCGCAGTTTCCGAGGGTACTGTATAAATCCCAACTTCCTGACTTACAGAGTTGCCCAGGTTATGAAGTTCATGAAGTCAGAAGAATATTCCGGGGTTTAGGTGTCTCTTGTCATAAACTATGATTTGCCGTCAAACCGAGAAAACTACATTCATCGTATTGGTCGTTCGGGACGTTTCGGAAGGAAAGGAGTTGCCATCAATTTCATCACCGAAAATGATGCACGTCAGCTAAAAGATATTGAGCAATTCTATAATACTATCATTGAAGAAATGCCCGCTGCAATTACTGATCTTCTTTGAGTAATAGAATTCTGTCGTGGTCTTCTTTCATTCTTCTCTGTATCATCTGAAATTCCTCGTGCTGTTTTGTTGTTTTTTTCCTTGGCTCGATATTGTTTTCCTAGTTGTTGATTTTAATTCGGAAGCGTTTAAAGTTTATGCGTTGCATTAAATAGTTGCAGCTTAAAAGCGGAGTTACTGTTGACGGAATCCGCTCGATCTATTGGCAGCTTTCAGACAAACTTCTTCTCATTGAAAGGGAAGTCATCATCGTTTGTTAAAAATTTTCTGATGCAATTCACTCAATAAGTTTACCGAGCCGAGTGACAAGTGCGCAAGTACGGTGACAGAGGAAAAATGTGTTTTTATTACGTGAATAAACAATATAAGGGAGATGGTGTGTAATGCATTCGGAATGGAGCTCCTCCTGCTTGGGGGTGGCTAGGTCTGGTAAGTACCTAGTGAAAGATCATCTGTAAAGGTCACTGCGGAGTAGAAAAACTGCAGAAAAGCTACTATTATACTTATGTTCAGTGCAATGAATCACAGGAATCTGGCCTAGCAGCCTAATGCGCTTGAAGAACTCTTTCGCAAGTGCTTATAAATGAAACAGGTATGTTGGACAGCTGACTAGTATGACACTTACTAGCAGAGGCTCTGTCACTTCTTTGGTTGTTTATTTGTTTGTTTATTTATTCATACTTGTCTTTCTTAATTACATATTTGTTTATACATTTGAAAAGGCTCGCCCAGAGAGACTAAGCTAGTCTGCCGTTCTTGAATGTTGAATTAGTGGTAGATAGTCATTCGGCAAGGGGAGTTGTAAGCCGTTAGCAGACGTATGTAGGTGCGCTTAGTGAAATTAAGGACAGGCAGGTGCAGGAACAGTATGACATGGCAATAGCGCTGTTCAGATGGCACGAGTTGCAAAAAGCATATCGAAAGATATTTCCGATATTCTTCAGCTTCTCTCATTTTGTAACCTCGGCATGTTAGTTGTTCTTATTCAGTATGTTTTCTT